CGCGGGACCGCCGCCTCCCATGGGAGGATTGCCAGGAATGCCTCCTATGCCACCTTTTGGAATGCCTCCAATGGGAAGCTATTAACCTCTAGACCCGATCTTTTTTCAACGCCGCCGAATCTTCATCGTTTTGCATTCCTCCTGCGATTTTTATTTTTCATTCGTTTTTTTTTTTGGGTTATATCCCCTTTCGCTACTTCTACTGGCCACGGGCCGAATAGCGGACAGATCAAAGATACGTCCCATGGGGTTCTTTTTTTGTGTTATTCTCGCATCGTAGGTCGTCGTCGTGTTGATATTATGTTCTGTAATATTCATCTGGTAGCACAGAGAGACGCATTTCTTTATCACGGGTTTCTGATTTGATCAGCTCTCTTGTCTTGTCCTGTAGGAATTCACACTTTCGTATCCATTTTTAAAATTGTGTTTCTCGTCTCTTCTTCCCTGTTTTATTTTAGTTTGCGAGGAAGTTTCCTCGTGACAACTTGAATCCACTGTAGATCCGTTTGAATCCACCTGGTTGATGACATTTCCCAAAGTTCGGTACCGATTACAAATTAGCCGAGATATCGGGGGGCAGAAAATGTTATTATTCATAGTTATGGGGTTTTCTTATGATATTTGTAAAGACCCGGATATTAGTTAAGTTTCCGGATTTTGCCCGGAAGTTTGAAAAATTAAATTCACTCGAACACTGCGACAGTTAGGATCTTCAGCGATCCTTTCCATGGCGATCTGTTTCTTCATCTCTGCCTTCCTCACGTTTCTCTCCGCCGTGTTTCTGCGTCTCTTTATATCGGTGATCGATTCCAGAAGGAGCAGGAAACGAGCTGTGGGGTTCTTCCATCCGTACACCAACGACGGCGGCGGCGGCGAGAGGGTGCTGTGGTGCGCCGTCAAAGCCATCCAGGAGGAGACTCCAGATCTCGACTGTTTCGTCTTCACTGGAGATCATGACTCTTCTTCCGATAGCTTGGCTCGCCGTGCCGTCGATCGTTTCGGCGTCCACTTGCTGTTTCCTCCTAAGGTTCGCTTCATCATTCTCTCTCTCTCTCTCTCTCTCTCTCTCTCTCTCTCTAGACATTGTTGGCAGCTATGTTAGTTTTGTGAGATTTTCAATTCGAATTATGATATTGGGGGTTTTGTTGGACCTAGTTTACGACTGATTCGTTCGAATTTGTTCGAGATCTTGCCAATGCTGTATTGTTGGATATGATAACCCTAGAGATTGAATTCGCCTGCGTATAAGATCACAGAAGAAGCCTGTAATATTTGGACACTTCTTGGAACACTTCAGTTCCCAAAGCTGTCTTTTTTCACACTGGGGGTTTATGTGTTTCGTCTCTCAATATTAGCTAATGAAGAACTTGATGTCCTTTTTTTCCCTGTTGATCTGGATACTATCTCTCTCACAGATTTCACATGCTGATTTGTTGGATTTCTGACTCATTTCATTCCCTTTCTTTCTGTGGATTCTGATTTTATGTTTGTATCTGGGTGGCTCAGGTGGTTCATCTTAATAAGAGGAAATGGATTGAAGAGACCACATACCCACGTTTCACGATGGTCGGCCAGAGCCTTGGTTCGGTTTATCTAGCTTGGGAAGCCTTGCGCAAGTTCACCCCTTTTTATTTCTTTGATACCAGTGGATATGCTTTCACCTATCCTCTTGCTCGGCTCTTTGGATGTAAAGTTATTTGCTACACACATTATCCAACTATCAGCTTGGATATGATTTCTCGTGTTCATCAGAGGAACTCCATGTATAACAACAATGCTTCCATTGCAAAGAGGTTTTGGTTTCTCCTTGATTAATGTTTTATACCTTGAAACTGAATATTTTGGTTAGATTGTACTTCTCTTTGCTAATGATATATATATTTTTTTCTTTGTGGCAGTAATTTGCTATCTTCATGCAAAATTATCTATTACAAAGTTTTTAGCTGGATGTATGGGGCAGTTGGCTCATGCACTCATCTAGCCATGGTCAACTCTTCGTGGACAAAGTCCCATATTGAAGCGATTTGGAAAGTTCCCGATCGAATTAGGCGGGTTTACCCTCCTTGTGATACTTCAGGACTTCAGGTTTTGATCCTTATGCGCCATGAATCTCATTACTTTGCCACTCTGCCTTTTAATATCCTGGTTCTTCCTAACGAGTTGAAGCATAAACCAGGCACTTTCTCTTAAAAGATCATCAGATCCTCCAAAGATCATATCGGTTGCTCAATTTCGCCCAGAGAAGGTGGGGATAATTGTATTAGACTTATGACAAGAAGATACTACAGTTTTAATCAATCAACTCCCGAGTTCAAAGTAGTCATTTTGCTTACTCATTTACAGTGATGTCCCAGGCTCATATGCTTCAACTCGAGGCCTTCTCACTAGCCTTAGAGAAGTTAGATCCACACCTTCCTCGACCCAAGCTCCAGTTTGTAGGCAGTTGCCGGAACCAATCAGACGAAGAACGTCTTCAGAAACTGAAAGACAGATCAGTTGAACTAAAAGTGGATGGGGATGTGGAATTCTACAAAAACGTTATGTATAGGTTTGTGCAAGTTCGTCATGATCTTTATTTTAACCGCTTTGTCTAAGGTAATGCCTGAAGCACCTGTGATATGGAATGTCTAATCTAATCCTAGCAGTAACTGGTAAGAGCAAAAAGAATTTCGGGTCACGGGTTTAGGAATGGAGCTTTGAGAATTGACACCAATGTAATAAAATATTTGCAGGGACCTTGTTACGCTACTGGGAAATGCAGTTGCAGGAATACACTCCATGGTAGACGAGCATTTTGGCATCAGTGTTGTCGAGTACATGGCTGCAGGAGCCATCCCGATAGGTCAGACTTAGGACTCCATATGTGGCTTTTTAACAATTCAATTTCAACTAACTCCAACTGTGTTCCAATTCCAATACCAACCATTTTTTCTTTCACTTGTGCACAGCTCACAACTCAGCTGGTCCGAAAATGGACATCGTGTTGCAAGAAAACGGACAGAGAACAGGGCTTCTCGCCCAGACCGTGGAGGAATATGCCAATGCCATCCTCGAGATTGTGAAGATGTCAGAAACCGATAGGCTCAAGATGGCTGAAGCCACGAGAAAACGGGCGGCAAAGTTCTCCGAACAGCGGTTTTTTGATGACTTCAAAACCGCCATCCGACACATTTTCACTAGCTCTTCGAAATGACAGCTTCAAGCCCTCAATATTTGCGGATCATATACTAACTTACACAAAAACATTTCTAAGGTACCCTCCTTTTGTTTTTATTCATTTCATTCTTTGCAGCCGACAGAAGAAAGACGTATTTGTTTTTTCCTTTGTTACCAGAGATACAAATGCAAGTTTTTAAGAAAGATATGTATCAGATCGCACATAAACGACAAGCACTTCCTATCTCAAACCTTGAAACGGCAAGGTGTCTCGATGTGGCCATGTTTCACTTCTCTGGTAAACCTCCTCTCTTTCGTCTTGAATCGTCCACTTATCCTCATTCAATTGCTCAAACGGTTTGAGTTCTTCTCCATTTCGGATCTTCTTGATTGATGCTATGGAGATCACGTACTTGTTCTTACGGAATTTATTTCTTCTTGTTGAGGGAAAAATAGAAACCCATTTCGATAGGGATGCTAATAGAGTATCTTAAACGGTCATGTTAGAGAATAGAGACTTTATTCTTGAATGGCATGGAAGTAGAGGTTCTTTTTCGAGGTTTGAGCATATTAATCTAAACTCATGAATCTTAGGTGTGTCCATTTTCATTCATAAGATGTTGCCATAGTAATAGTGACCAGTGAGAATCTTTGGGGTGTCAAATGGGCCGCGGGTCGAGCCGACCTGACTCGAACCTGCAATTGGCCCGAGGGTTTTGGCTTTGAGTTTGGATCGGTTAGAATTTTTCAGGCCTATAAAACCAAACGAGAAGTCCGATCCTATAGGACTCGGGTTCGGGTTCGAGTCGGATCGGCCCGATTTACACCTTATTTTTACATTTGGATTAAGTTTTTTTATCATTTGTTTTTTTTATAATAAAACCGGGTTTTTGGGTTGGTCCGAAGTCCGTCGGGCTCAACTCGACCAAACCTGATTTTCGAATTGAGTCTTGGTTCGAAATCCCAAATTTTTCTGGCCTAAAAAAATTAACGTTCCGATGATTTTTCGGATGGACTCAGATCGAATTTCGGGCCTTGGATTAAAATTAAATGCCCTGAGTGTGAGATTTGTAGATAAAGCCTTATCCGAAACACGTAGAATACATTCTGAAATTATCCACATGGTTTAATTCCACTCGTTTGTCACATGCGGACATTACACTTCCTGTTTGGTGGCCGATTAAATCAGAGCACTAAATACTAAATAGGATAACCACTTATAAAGGCACATAACAAAAATGCAGTACAACTTGATAATCTTGTCGGTAGATGAATAGTACCATAAGATGATATCACCTTCTTGCCATATTTCGCATGACCAAATCCTATATACGAAGAAAATATGGATTAGATGAACGTTTTGTAATATTTTAGTGGGGATTGTGAGAGTCTAAATTAATATACCATTGAATTCATCGCAACTTTGTCGTTATTACAACCATCATCATCGAGTATTGTCATTCGTTGAAATTAATAGGATTTCACGAGGAAAAAAAAAACGTCCATCCTCATCACAAATTATAACAAAAATTCTTATTATTATTAGGGAAAAATACCTAAAAATTCATGAATCTATATTTTGGTGTAATATTAATTTCTTAAGTTGTAGATGCGCTATTTATTCACGAACTTACATTTTTTAACACAATAATCCCTAAACTTATATTTTTGAACACCGTAATTCCTAAACTTGCATTTTTTAACACAGTAATTCTTAAACTTTGCTTTTGTCAATTAGTGGTATAGACGATTATGGAACTGTTAAACAAATTTAGGAATTATTATGTTAAAAAATGTAAGTTCGGAAATAAATAGGCGTACCAACAAATTCATGAATTAATATTACACCAAATTACGAATTCAGGAATTTTCAGATATTTTTCCCTTATTATTATTATTGTTGATGATTATGAACGAATTTAAATAGATAAATAGAAGTTTTAGATAAAGTTTAAATTACAATAAAAAAAATTAACGTTTAGAATAATAAAAGCAACGTAATCCAGATTAAAAAAGAAGAAGAATAATAATAGATAGATTAAATCTCTCTAATTTCCAATATATTCCTTCCAACACATCTTGGAACAATCTCAAATTTAATCTGATTTAGCTGTCACGTGTAGGAAAATCTTATGATTGGATACAAAACCTTACCACATTTAGACATTGGTTGGGTAATTAGATAAGTTATTATTCTCATGTGTTTGTGAGTTATTATTATTGTCAAAAGCTTTTTGATCGTTCATGTTATTGTATAATAGTCTCGTTGATCAATCTCCCTCCTACTTTTCCTTTGGTCCAACAAGTATTAGTTTCTGCTTTTTAATGATTATAAAAACGCGAAATTTTCCGCTGTCGGTCGTCAACAATAGTTTTTTTTTTTTTTTTTACAGATCATAGCCGAGTGATCAAACTTGGGGTGTGAGGTAATTTTTTGAGATTGAGTGTTCGATTCCTGACTGGTGGGGAAGGAGGTAATTTCTGGATTTATATGATGCATATACAAAGGATGCTCTCGCACCAGAGATTTACCTAGTCAGCACGTCTGAAGGGTAGCAGGTATGATCACTCCGTTATAAAAAAAACAATAGTTCTTTTTAAAATAAAAAAAAAATCTCCTCACCACTATTCTTATGGAAATTATGGGTTAAGGTAAAGGCGAAAAGATGGACCAAATGAATGCTACGTCCAATATATAAAATGGTAAATTGATTACTCTAATTTTTAATTATGACATTGAAACAAAAGCATATGCGGTTATAAGAGCTGTGTAATGGGTGTTGTACTTGTAAATGTCATTGGGGGGATTTGATAAATATATTCAATTCTAACCATAATATAAGAAATTAATGGCGAGCGTGACTCTTTCGGGCCTACACACATCTCGCAAATTGAAAGACTTTGGAACTCAGATCAAAGTCTGGTTGGTGGTTTTGCATTGCGCAAAGACATTATTGACACATGTTTTCTCTTCGGGCATGTGACAATACATAGAAACCGGACAAGATGCGCCACCAAAATTTTTTATAAGATCTTGTCAAAGATCACATGAACTATTTCTTTGTATATGTAATTACTTTACCTTTTAAATCTAATAATTTGGATTCTATAACACTATTGGAGATTTTTTTGACCGTTTATAATATATCAAAAATCATATCTTTACAAAATATTCCACATAGTCCATGCATAGTGTCCATTACCACTGGTCGTTTTTTTAAGAAAATATAATTTTCACGTATTCTTACCTAATCTTGATTAACCAGTTAAACCGACACAATCCAATAATTAGATATTTTGTTCTGAAGATTCTTTTATTTTTTATTTTATAAACGGATGTCTTTAACCAAAATTCGTATTATTTTAAATATTTGTCAAGTATTATTGTGTTTATTAATGCATTTGAACTATTTGAGATGAGAAAAAAAAATGGAGGTGATTTATTCAATGTAATAGCTCATGTGTCATCACTAAAATTTTTGGAAAAGAGAATCATATTATATATATATATTTCTATCCAAACTTTTGATATATATCTTTTTTGTAAAGAGAATAAATTTGGAAAATGATTGGAACATAAGAAAGATTTGGAATCTTGGGTTATCTTAAAATTAAGACCACCCATCATCATCTCTAATCTTTTCCGGTAAGCTTTTGATATGAGTCCAAAAAACTAAAGAGATAAGAAGCATGCCCCAATAATTATAATTAGATAAACCTTGTCACATCATATTTCATTTTAGATCATGATATATGCATTTCCTTCCTTTAATAAATATTCGATTTTCATCATATAATATTTCTAGTTATAACTGTCGGTTATCGTTCTATGTTACCGAAACCGACAAGTCATACCGTTTTTTGGCTAATACCATTAACTTTGAACTTATAGAAATTATTTAAATCATATATATGTATATATATAGTTAGAGGCATATATTCAAATGGTTCAAACTTTAAAAACTTTTCTGTTTCAAATATCTTGAAAATTCAAAGCCTTATTTGTTAGCGTTTTTCCGAACAACTTCTAGGAATCTTCATATATATATATATATATATATATATATATATGCATCATGCATGTGTGTGTCACAAGACGATGATAATAATTATAATGTTTGATTTTTTTTTTTTTATCTAGGCAGTTCAATATGATCCCATTCATCCATTCGCTGCATTAAAAAAAGTTATAAATTTGTAATTTAACTGGAAATATTCAACATGAAATTACAACCATGGTATCATATCATACTCCTAAATCTGCAGGTTAAACCATAGCAGGACAATGATAAAATGAAATTAATGAGCAAAAAAAAAAGCAGAATGAATGGAGGCTATGTAGATAAGATTAAAGTATAATTATTAAAATTGACCAACAAAAAAGTCTCCAAAAAAATATCGTATTTGATTTGAAAAAAAAAAGAAAAGGAAAAAAACTAAAAAAAAAATACATCTCACCAATCATCATCGTTTTAATTGCGTCCTTCACTCATTATTTTTAGATCCACCAGAATGCAACTAGCTCTGTCTTCCCTCTCTCTCTCTCTCTCTCTCTCTCTCTCTCTCTCTCTCTCTCTCTCTCTCTCTCTCCAGAAAAGGAAAAGCTCAAACAATAAAATAGAAATTCAGGAACTTGAAAAACAATATAATCATTAATAATAGGCAGATATAATAATCGATGGAAACATCATACGAATCGGCCAAGTGGTCAGGTTGTAGCGCTCAGTTTCTGTGGGCATTGCAGCCTGAGCCATCGGAGTCGGAGTTTCATGTCGGGTTCTCCTCTTCCTCCTCCGGCAATTTCCCGGCTGATTGCGGCGGCGAGAGGGCCGATTCTCTGTCAAGGAGCCACCGCATGGCGGAGAAGCGGCGCCGCGACCGTATCAACTCCCACCTCGCCGCTCTCCGGAAACTTGTTCCAAACTCCGACAAGGTATTAAAACAAAAAACAGCTATCTCCTCTCGTACCTTATTTCGTTTGTGATGCTCATATTTTAATTTTTATTTTCTTGTGGTCTATCAAAAATCGGTTGAATCCTCGGTAAAATTTGTTTATATTCAAGATTTGGAAATATTGAAATCTTCGATTATATTCTTTTTTATTTAAGAACTGATTAATATGTTGTTGGGAAGCACAGCCAATGAATGATTTCAGATGGTGTCCTTACACAAACCTTGTAATAATTTGCAAGCTACGTCTATGCATATAACCACATATATGGTATCGATTCTCTCAATCATCATCAAGCAAAAACATATATATATATATAGTAAGAATCCCTTAAGAAATTAGATTGTTACACCTATATAAAGTATACACACACACACACACACACACACATATACACACACGACGAATCTCATGTTAAGATTACCAAAACAAGCATGAGTCTGATTTGGTGTCTTCTTGGGTGGTGGAACAGTTGGACAAGGCAGCTCTACTGGCAACAGTTATACAACAAGTGAAGCAACTCAAACAACAAGCAACAGAATCTCCCATCTTCTCGGATCTTCCATCCGAATCAGACGAAGTCACTGTCAACCTCAGCAACACTGTTCCAAACTTCGAATCAGATACCCAAGAATGCAAAGGAGGAGATAGGGTTCTTCTCTTCAGGGCCTCCTTTTGCTGCGAGGATCGTCCCGAGGTGCTCTCGGAGATCATCCGGGTCCTCAAGAAGCTTCAGCTCGAGACCATCCAAGCCAATGTCATCTCCGTTGGTGGACGAACGAGAAACAATTTCGTCCTCATGAAGAAAGGGTGTGGCTCTGAAGAGAATAGCGCTGCTTCAGCCACCGCTCTGAAGCAATCGCTAGGAGCAGTGTTGAGCCGAATCACATCTTCGTCGTCCACAACCTCGGTTTGTAGGATCAGAAGCAAGAGACAGAGATGGTTCCTGTCTTCCCATTACTCACAATGAGAAGAATCATTCACTGATTCACTATATCGCCATACACAGATATGTTTCACCATACGAGTCTATCAGACAAGACAACTGCTAAGATTCTTCTGTAGCCATTCATGTTATAGTTAACATATCGGTTCATAAGGATCCGACAACATAAGATACAAGTCGTAACAGGAGAAGAACCATAAAACTACCAAGGTGCAAAATCTAATTCTAACCAAATGCACATCATCTATACTTGACGCAAACCTAGGAAAATTGTCTAACGAATAAAGGGTTTCACAATGTACCTAGAAAAAACGTACCTGGAATTGAAGAAAATAATATGATCCAAATCTCAACGGCAAAAGAGGAAAATTTTGATCGGGAAGAGATAAATAAGCAAAAGCAGAATGGTAACCGAAGCTTATATGAAAATTCAAAACGAAAGCGAACACAAATAAATGATTGAAATCATCCAACAACAGTGTCGCCCAGAAAACTAGAAACTAAACGAGTCCAGACAAATCGAAACAGAGAAACCGAGAACAAGAGCGGACAAAAGCCGAGCGAACAGGAGGAAGAGCGAAGCCGTTATCTGGTTCTACTTGGATCTCTGTCTCATCTTTCTTCTCTTCCTCTTCAACCTTCTCATACGCTTCTTTTTCCACTGAAAGAATCATACAAAACAATTTTCAGCTCGACAGGAACTTACCGATTGAAAACAATGCACGAATCGAACAAAGAGAATACGCAATCGGAAGATTGTTACCTTGGCTCTCATGGCGGGAAAAGGGGGACGATGTTACTCTGTGTTCGTAAAAAAACCCTAATCGACGATTTCGCGACGGAGACAACAAAAAGGGATAAAACTAGAGAAGATAGGCGCCGGAGCTGCAGGTCGTATATATATACCCCTGAAACCCTAACCAACGGCAGGCTGATAAAGGCCGGAAATATTTGGGCTTTTTCCTTAAGACAATATAGTCATAAACATGGGCCTTAAGCCCATTATGTTTATCCAGCCCATTTGCTTGAATCATAACGCAATTAATTATTCACATTCAAAGCTCATGCGCTTTATCATATTTCAAAAACCGATTTGCAATTATTTGTAATAATTATTTTTCTTATTAGGAAATGTAATTAATTATGTATGGCAGCCAGGACAGATGTGTAAAAAAAAAAAATACAACACATTGCATGTTCGACCAGCTATTTAAAATCAATTTTAAATAAAAGTCAATCATTAACCTATTTAATGAGTATCGAATTGGGTTCATTCCCCCTCGGTTTAGTTGACATTCTGCCAAATCTTTCCTCACAGATACGCCCAATGGTACATGTCTCGTTACAGATTTATTGTCAAGATTTTATTTGATTATCATATTCAAAGTCCACAAACCGAAGAATGAATATAATTCTAAGATATACCTATTTGACATTGATATATATACATTAATACATATATGTATATGTAAGAGTAGTGCACGTCTAACAAAACGTGAATAATTTACATGCTTTGTAACAATTAGGCAAATTGTTTGATATATCATGGGTGGCAATTTTCATGCCAATTTTGAGTTGATAAATTGGACCGTCCAATTACAGAAATTGGGTCCAATCAACGTCGTAGCAAATAGTTATTAGGTTTTCAAATATATACACGACATAGTATTAGTTAGTTGATTTCAATATATCTTGATTTGGTTTCTATTTACCAAATAAACACATATATTTACATTTGGAAAGTAGTTTAGGAAATAAATAAAGTCAAAACTCAATGTAACACAAGTCAACGCAATGAGATTTCAACATTATTATTAAAAAAATTAATTAGAATTCTCCGTCTAAACTGTAAGCACGCTTCACGAGATTCTCATAAGCGTCAACGGCGCTTGACGGAACCGCTACCATCACTTTAACGGCGTCGTTTTGTTCGGGAACCGGAAGCAACAAACAGTACCGGTCACAACATACCGATCCCACATGAACCGGTTCACCTAAACCGAAATCAAGCCTCTCCAAACCAAGCCTTGACCACTGCGACAGTATCAGGACTCCCACCGAGTCAGGACTCGCCCTCGCCTCGCTCACCGCTTCGACCACTGATCTTACGTACTCGTCGTCGACTCTTTCCTTTGCCCGCTTCACGAGCATGGTCGTGTGCCCTAAACCCTTTTCTGTCAAATCTTTGACCGTGGTTTGGGCGCATCCGACGACGAACGCGTTCCCGTAGAACCCGGTGGGTAGACTCGGCTTGACACGGTCCCGTACGTTGATGCTGAAGAGAAGTTTCAGGGTCTGGTTCGAAGGGAGGTTCAGCGATCTCGCCCAGCTCCGCCATACATGCGCTGAGAGCACCTCAAACAACGTGTGTTTCGACTCACTGAGTCGGCTAGCGAGTTTCGTCAGCTCGCTGAGTTGCTGTCTCTCGACGGTTCAGGAACCCACACAAATCCGGCACTCGGTTGAACTCGGGATGACTCAGAGAGTTACGACCCGCTGGAGGTGGCCGCTTCCACGGCGAGGGGTCGAGCAGGTGACGATCCCACACGTGTTTCCGCTTCAACTCAGCTTGAGTTGGACCGTTTCTGCATAATTCGGCGAATAAGTGGAGAAACTCGGTGCTTCCGATACCGTCGGAGAGGCAGTGGTTGATGCCGAAGGCCAACGCAGCGCCGCCGTCTCGGAGCCATGTCAGCTGGACAACGAGAGGTGGGGCCCCGGCGAGAACATCGCCGACGTGGAGAGACAGAAGCTTCCTCCAGCTCGTCACGTGCCGTGGAGCTCTCTGAAAGTCGTTGCACGTGAGGTTGTCGGAGACGGCTTCGAGAAACAGAGCACCTTGGCCACGACAATGGACCTCGAGACCCAACCCGCCGGATCTTTCACGGACTCGTCCGGCGAAGGGGAAGTAAGGGACGAGTGAACGAGAGAGAGCGGATTTGACCCGACCCGTGATAGAAACCGGGTCGAACCCGGGCCGGGGACGGTAGACGAGGAGGTACTCGATGGTGAATCGGAGGAAGAGCTGAGAATCTATGGCGGAAAGAGACAGAACAGAGGAGGGTGTCGGATCTGAAGGAGTTACAACCGTGGCGTCTTTAACATGAACAGAAGATCCCATGCTATATGCTCAGATTTTTCCCCAGAAGCAGAGCGAGCGGGCGAGCGAGATAGAGAGAGAGATGTGATTCTTTCTGTGGATTGTGTGTGTGTATATATATATATGTGTGTGTGAGAGTGTGTATATTCACGTAGAGAGACAAGACAACTAGTTTGTCTTTCCTCTTTTGTTTTTGATGTGTTATATATTGTACAGTTTACTATGTGTATGTATGTATCGTCTGTCTCTAATATCTGTTCATCTTTTTGCCGCCTACTATTTAGTGTTTAACTTATTCTTTTTAAAAAAGTTAAAAGCTTTTTTTTTACAATTGTTTATTTATTTATTTATGCACAACCGATAAAAACACGTTCGCGGTCTTTTCCGCAATCTGAGAAATTGTTTCCGCATTTGTCCCGAAGAATCGATGAAATCATAAACAGTAAGACTAAGAAAAATATACAAATATTTTTTTTTTATAACCGAGTGTTCTAAACCAAGATTCAGACTAATTATGAATATCACGACCGTCCCTCTTCACATAGAGCTGAAAAAGAAAATTAGATTCAGCATTTAAAAAAATTAAAAAAAGAAAATATTGTGTGCCGTTTTTGTCCATGGACTCGAACAATCTTCCATTGAAAAGGTTTTGTGAATTTTTTTTATAGAGTTTAGATTGCTGTTTAAGAACCCTTTGTTTTGAAAAAACAAAATGTGCGCATTTAAGATAATATAAAAGACGTCAACTTGATTAATTATAATCTAAAAGATACCAATTTCATATAGTTATCTTTATCTTCCATGTTTAGTTAAATGAATGTGTCAAATTAATTGTTACCTACCATAAGGCACTTTTAAATCGTAATTAGGAGTAGCTATCTAGATTTTATTCTATTGTTTTTCAGTTCGATTATTTCGTTTTTTAATTTGTTTATTCAATTTTTATGTTTTTTTTATAAAGTTTCCCCAAATAGGTTTGAACTCGGATGAAGGGACTTCAATTTTTATGTTGGATTTTAGTTAAACTATTAATTTAGATTTGGTTTTCTATTGATAATTTAAAAAAAAAAATCTTTTTTTGGTTTCGATATTTTTAAGTTTAGTTCGAAATTATATTTTTATTTTAAAATATTTTAACATTCCATTTTTGTATTGAATTGGATTCCGCTATCAATGAATATTTATTATTATATTTGAACCGATTTAATTTTGTTTAATCTAAACAAATAATTATTTTTATTTATAATATCTAATTTGTCTTTATAATAGAGATGAATTAAAAAAATACTTTGTTAAAGTAAAACTATATATATATATAAATAGGATTATATGGCTAGATTTTTCTAAATTCTTGTCTAAATTTTGGTGGGAGGAAGGATTCATTCATGTTAAACATAGATCTCCCGTACCAAGAGTGGTTGGTTCAACTGGCAAGTGAGAATGCGCAAAGAGTGCTCCACATATTCGAATCCCACCATTGACAAATAACATATTATCGAAAATATAGATCTCTCATCTTCTATCATCTTCTATAGGTAATGCTATTATTTTCTCTCCAAAAAACGTAAGAATGTTCTTTTTTTGGCACCAACTTGTTTTTTTTTAATTGAGGTTACCAATTATGAAAATTCAGTTTGCGTAAATTTCATAATTTGAAATATCGTAATGTACATTTTATTATAGAAAGCAGTTTTTTCATGATCGTGGAGAATACGTGCGTGGAGCACTGGATGCATGCCGCCTTGAAAAACTTTGTAAACGTAATAATAAATGGGTTCGATTAATTAAATACCTAGTGTGTGTTCCCTTTCTACGACCGTTCCTTGTGCCGAAACTAAACACACCATATATCATTTTATTTTAGTGCATATAAAATAGATGATAAGATTATATACAATATGATAAAACATTGTTATAAATTTGTGTGATATAAAAGGGGAAATTTTTATTATTTGCCCAACAACTAAATCTATTTTATTTTTCTTTGACACAGAAAAGTGCAATAATGAATAATAAAATGCGTTTGGTGGGGTGGTGGTCTATAACGTGATGTGCTTTGTTGTTATTGGGTTGGGGAGGTTTTGCATGTGTCTTTGACAGTGAAAAAGATTTGGTGCCAAGATTCTCAGGGCATAACTTTATAGAACCAAGAGAAAAAAATATTATATACTTAGTAATTAAAAAAATGAATAAACAAATATATTTATTTTAACATGAACTCACAATAAACATTTGTATAATTCGGAAACAAAGCCGCTTTTGATTTTCGAATTTCACTGTGTGACGGTCTAGTCTTAGTCAATTTTCTTATGGACCCAAGAAATATTTAGACATCATATGATAATCTCACGTTAGTAGAATTTTTTCTTTTCCTTTCTCATGGTCGGTCCATATTTTATGACTTTAAAAGTAAATAAAATAATTTCATAATGATGATGAATACAGTAAATCGTATGGGGACCTTTGTATGTATTTTTTTTCAGCGTTCATATTGGATCGGTAAGATAAAGATACGATTCACATTCCCATTCCATAATATTAATAATAAAAAAACAGAATCTCGAGCAAATATGGAGTCCGAGTTAAATGGGTTTCTTTTTTTTTTTTTTTGGCGCAGAGTGGATGTATTTTTTTATTCTCTCTTTTTTTTTCTGAAAAGAAATTTGAAAGATATTGGAAGATTTTTTATTTAAAAAAAAAAGAAAAGAAAAAAAAAGGCGAAGAAGTTGCTTTCCGATAAAATCGATGTGGTGAAGGGAACACATTAAAGGTGGTATGTGTATAAATAGTGACTACACTTATTTCAGAGTTTTCGCGACAATTGGATGTTTTTTGTTTTCCATTTCATAATAATTGAAGTTTTACACAATTATTTTTATTTTTAAATAGATATCACTCAGTAATTTTTTAAAATAATTTCCAATTTTACATTTAATTAAAACTAGTGTAATTCTAATAAACTTTTTAATAACAATATAGTTTTTATCATTAAATCTATATTAAATAAAGATTTACGACACTTTTTTTTTATATTTTCTTAAAAATTGTGAAAAACTCTAAAACATCAATTATTCAAAACGGAGAGAGTAGTATATTAGATGATGTTAATTTTTTTTTGTCCAAAATACCCTTCATAATCACTCTTATTAATGACAGAATATTATGATCAGTTTTTACTTCCCAATAAATTAATGATGATTAAATTTAGAATAAAAAAGTAAATTGGAAGTATGAAAACGTAATTTGTTTTTAAACAAAAATTTTACTCTAAAACTTCATCTAAAATTAAATGGAAGGAGTAGTAAACAAGATAAACGGACAAATGTAAACCGACTGTAAATCTGATATTTTCTAAATTAATACGAAACTTATAGAAGATGTGACTTTTTTATATTATGATATTTTTATTGTATTTGGATTTTTTTTATTATATTAGTAATTATATGTTTTTGTGTAATTGAGTTTTCTTAAGAACTAAAATTTTATTTAGTATATTTTGATTATATTACAATTTATCGAAATTCGGGTAATTTAACAAATAGAAATTCTAACACCGGTCTATATGAATTCAATGGAACGAGTGAAATGATGGGATCATAGAGTAGATTTCGGTAATAAAAGGTGAAATAAAATGGGTTAGTGTTATTTTTTTTTATAAGAAATGGGTTACTGTTATTGTTTTTTTTTTATAAGAAAGGGGTGGGCAATTCGGTTCGGGAATCTAATCCCGAACCGTACCGAATCGATTAATTTGGGAACAGTTTGGTTCGGTATTATATAAAAATACCGAACGGTACAAGATTTAAGATACCGAACGGTTTGGGAACGGTTCGGTTCGGTTCGAAAAATACCGAACGGTATTCGGTATTTTTATTTTTTAATTAAAAAATATTTATATTAATAATTAATTATGATAATTACTATATTTTACTTAATAAATATTTTATTTTTATCTCTTTTTATTTATATTATTTTTTGTCTTTTTTATACTGCATACACTTTACTTGTTGGTAAAGAAGGATTTCTACATATATGATATAATTTTTGAAGTGTAATTTAAAATTTTGATCATATTTATAGAAATTTTCAAAATTATTATGTAAAATTTCCTTAGGGTTATATCAAGTTCAAAACTTTTATTTTGTTCTCTAAAATTATTATGTTGGATTTCTTTATTTTTATACTATATAAATTATGAATATGTTATGAACCATTCCGAACCGTTTCGAACCGTTCATGAACCTTCTTTATTTCGGTTTTTATTTGGTATTTATTTATTAGTACCGTAGCGTTCCAAACCGTCATAATACCGAAATGAACCAAACTGAATAATATACGGTATTAATTTGGTACAAATTTTATAATAACGAATAAACCGTTCCCGAACTGAACTGTTAAAATTTCGAACCGAATCCCGAAACGTCCATCCCTAAAATATCGTGTGTGTAACAACCCAATTAGGGTTTACCAAAAGTTTCCGTGAAACATGATTACATAATTCCTTTACCAAAAAAAAACATGATTATATTATAATTCTAACCGATAAAGATAGATTTATTGTCGTCTATTATGCAAATCAAATCCAATAAGGGAAAATCTTTTTAGTACAATTGCAGGATCGAATATCGTGGAATGATCATGTTGTCCTTAAAGATGGATAACTTAAGGACAAAAACATATTTTGGAAAATTGGGGGAAAATGATGATTTTTTAATTGACATGTGTGGAAAAACATGGGAAATTGAGATGATATTTGATAATATTGAAGGGGAAATTTCGATGGGTGGTTTGAAAAATTAGGCCAAATTAAAATGGGTGAAATAAGAGTGTGATAGTGTAGAGTTTGTGCTTTGTCGGGGCCTATGGACCCCATTCGATAAGAGGTTGTTAGATTTGGTCCGAATTTAATCTGTAATCAAATTTATAGATATGCACGAGGTGTTGTTTTTTAATTGGTTATATCCATTACTATATCCATACTTCATTTGCATATAATTTTCTGGTCTCTAACTAGATTTCAAAGGTTGATATGCAATTTTTTTAATTAATTATTGATGTTTTTAAATAACTAATTATTTTAAGATAAATTCTAAACTAATCCAGAATTTAAAATTTTATATGAAAGATGCAATCTACGATTTGAATTAACCAAACAAAAAAAAACTACAGAGAATA